TTGTCCTCCTAGGCCACACACAGCAGTTGGAGTGTAAGTGGAGCAGCCTGCATAGAAAATGGCACCCATATGGGATGCTCGCACTTGCAGGTGGATGATTAGCCTGCTGAGCCACTACATTGGCCCTGAAAGCGTACACTTCTATGCATTGAAAAAATTATTTTTATTGGAAAGCTAAATTTACAGAAATGAGACAGAAAGCTTTCTCATCCACAGGTTCACGCCCCAAGTGACTGCAACAGTCGGAGTTGAGCCAAGTAACCAGGAGCCTCTTCCAGGTCTCCTACGTGGGTGCAGGGTCCTAAGGCTTTGGGCTGTCCTCCACTGCTTTCCCAGGCCACAAGCAGGGAGCTGGACGGGAAGTGGAGCAGCTGGGACATGAACCAGCACCCATGTGGGATCCCAGCGTGTGCAAGGCGAGCACTTTAGCCACTGAGTCACTGTTCCAGATCCCCCTGCTCCCACTACTTCCAACCTCACTTCTAGGGACACCACTTCCCCTGGGTTTCCTGGACGTCAGCCTCCTCCATGTCTGACAACCGCCCTGTGAGGGCGGCCGAGTGTGACAGGTGCATGGCCATCAGTCATCACAGACGCTGCAGGGAATGGTGACCCAGCTGGGTGCCCACCTTTAGCGTTCACAGTGCAGCCTGGACCCCGCGGCCCCGGAACATACAACCATAAGACCGCCCTCTCCCTCCGGGACTCCGACCCGCTCCTGCCTGGACGCTGACAGGTCAGCCCTGCGGCCGCCCGCGTCCCTCCCCGCCGGGCACCTGCGGCCTTTGCCTCCTCGCTCCGTGGCCAGCGAGCACGAGCGCCAGCGCCTCGGGTGGGCAGCCGGCCCGAGGGGGGGTCCAGCTTTGCCGCCCCAACGCCCAGCAGCCTGGCAGTTCGAACCACGGACTCGGGCCGCCACCGGGATGGTCACGCGGGCCGCGGCTCATCAGGTGACCAGGCACCGGGTCACGTGCCCTTCGGCCAATGCCAGGGTCCAGGAAGGAGAGGCTTTGTGATTGGTCCGTTCCTACGAGGGGGCGGGATTTCTAACTGGGAAGAAACAAAAACCGGGAGTCCTCTGTGGGAGTGGGGCGAGACTCTGGACCCCGAGGTAATTCGTCGGCGCGAATTTCCTACGTCATCTTGCCGAGCCGCCGTGGGGAAAGGACTTCCGGCGTCGGGAGCCGGGCTGGGCTCCAGGTCTCGTCGCCGCGTCCTGCCCCGGGCCCGTCTCCCCGTCTCCGTCCTGCCCTGGGTCCGTCTCCCCGTTTCCGTCCTGCCCCGGGCGGCGGGCTGCAGCTTTCTCCGCATGCAGGGCTGCGCTGACGGCTCTGGTTACTGCCATGGAGGCTCGAGGGGCGGTGAGGACTAAGGGTCAGGCCTGGAGGCCTCCTGGGCAAGCACGGTGACGGTGTTTTTTTTTCTTCGTTTTCTTTAAAAGAATTATTTGTAGGGCTCGGCGGCGTGGCCTAGTGGCTAAAGTCCTCGCCTTGCATGCACCAGGATCCCATATGGGCGCCGGTTCTAATCCTGGCAGCCCGCTTCCCATCCAGCTCCCTGCCTGTGGCCTGGGAAAGCAGTCGAGGACGGCCCAAAGCCTTGGGACCCTGCACCCGCGTGGGAGACCTGGAAGAAATTCCTGGATCCTGGCTTCGGATCGGCACCGCACTGGCCGTTGCACTCACTTGGGGAGTGAATCATCGGACGGAAGACCTTCCTCTGTCTCTCCTCCTCTCTGTATATCTGACTTTCCAACAAAATAAATAAATCTTAAAAAAAAAAAAAAACAGACTTATTTGTATTGGAAAGTCAGGTGTACAGAGAAGAGGGGAGACGGGAAGATACTGCGTGCACTGATTCACTCCCCAAGCGGGCTGCAACGACCAGAGCTGTGCCGATCTGAAGCCAGGAGCTGCTTCTGGGTCTCCACCTTAGGGTGCAGGGTCCCAAGGCTGTGGGCCATCCTCTGCTGCTTTCCCAGCTGCATTAGGGAGCTGGATGGGAAGTGGAGTAGCTGGGACTCGAACTGGTGCCCATATTTGATGCCATCACTGCAGGCGGCAGCTTAGTCCACCACACCAGTGTCAGCCCCGGCCTCCTGTTTTTCCAGTGGTCACTACTGAGTATTTCCTGGTGCTCAGCAGGGTGAGGTTAGCAGGGGTGTGTTCTCGGTGCCTGAGGGTGGGCTGTCAGGCTTCCGTGGCGGCCTCGCTGGCCTGGGCAGGTAATGAACCCCTCAACTCTGAGGCCTCTAGGAAGCAAGGGCACAATGCCCGCCGCATCCTGCGCTGGTTGGACTGGCTGTGCAGGTGCTTGGTGGTGCCAGCCAGTGGGTGTTGAGCAGGGCCTCCATCCTTGCCAGCTCCAGGGTCCCTTGGGGCTGGGGAAAGGCGACACATTGCTTTTTCTTTCCTGCAACTCAGGGTTGGGTCGAAGTGGTTTAGAATGGGTAACGCTGGAAGAACACAGCTAGACACAGGGTACGGTTCAGCTCACAGTAGGGTCACAGAAAACTAGTGCAGGGTGTGAAGGCAGGTGGGGGGCAGTGGTCCAGATGGCGGGCCTGCTGCCCTGTGGTGGTGGAGAGTGGCTGTGGCGGTAATAGTCTCCAGTGTTCCTGAAAGAGGCTAAGGGAGCCCCACTGGGGGGACATGGCCATCTGTGAGCCCCAAACACTAGATGCAGCTGGCCCGACACCGCTGCATATCCCCTTGGGCATGTCTGCCTCCCTGCTGAGCCTGCGCCCTCACGACACCAGGCCTGTCAGTGCCATCACTTGGGCATTACTGTTCTGCCTCTCTTGTCCCCTGTCACCAAGAGGCAGCCTGCAGCCGCACAGTGTGCTGCCCTCCAACCTTCTGGGCTGGCAAGTCCACTCATGGCTATGGCTTAGCCCCTTCTCATCACTGGGGATTCCTTGTTGTGCATACCCCCGCAGCAAGTGAGCCCTGCACAGTAGGCACACAGGAAGTAGTGTCCTGTGAATGGCTCTGCCACAGGCTGGCCTGCTGCTGTGTGTGCTCTCTGCCCCACCCACTGCCACTCGCTCTGTTAGGGGAGGGGTCCTCTCTGCCTAGCCAGCACGCACCTCATGTCTGACCTGGCTCTCCAGTTCCCTTGTAGTCTGCCCCCCTCTGCCCTGCTTGAACAGGTGGATGAAGTGCTCACGTGGAGGGATGCTCACCGGCTCGCAGCTCGCCCCTCACTGCCATCAGTGGGACAGATCCCTGCACTTCCCTCTAACTCCTGCTTGCCCACCAGGCGACAGCGGTCTGGAGTCCACAACCTTGCTTTAGATGCCAGCTCTGCCCCCTGGGAGCAGTAGGAGCATCACCCAGGGCAGGTGACAGCCTCTCAGGGCCAGGGCCTGGCTGCCACTCACTTGGACATTCTCCCAGCCCCCTAGCCAGGGGCATGCTCAGGGTCTCCCTGGCTGTGGTTACAGGCTGCTGCCATGCACACCCACGCCTCGCCCTTCTCTGGCTGCCGCTGCTCTATCCCCACACAGACTTTAGGAAAGCAGAATGATTGAACCTCTGTCTGCTGGTTCATTTCCCAGACGCCTGCAGCAGCCAGGGCTGGGTCAGGCTGAGGCCAGGCGCTCCATCCAGGACTTGGATTCAAAGTGTCCCTAAAGGGTTCTTCAGACATTAGGAGAACGGAAGAGACAGGTCTCCTGTCTGCTTACTCATTCCTCAAATATCCAGAACAGGTCCAAAAAGAAAAGGACAAAAAAAAAAAAAAAAAAAAAGCCACAGAACAGGTTTGGTCAGGTGTAGGCGGGAGCCAGGAGCCCCACAGACGTGGCCTCACCAGCAGCCCCCCAGAGCAGCAGTGGGGGCTGCATCAGAAACCAGCACCTGAGTTTCTCCTCAGGTAGGAAGCACCTGGATTTTGCTGCAATGGCTGAATCTGAGCCGATCTGAAGCCAGGATCCAGGAGCTTCTTTTGGGTCTCCCATGTGGGTGCAGGGTCTCAAGGCCTTGGGCCATCCTTGACTGCTTTCCCAGGCCACAGCAGGGAGCTGGATGGGAAGCAGGGCTGCAGGAATTAGGACTGGTGCCCATATGAGATCCTGGCGTGTGCAAAGTGAAGACTTTAGCCTAGGCTACCATGTTGGGCCCAAGCACCTGTATTTTTACCTGAGAAAGTAACATGACCCATGACATGTTGGGGGTGAATTCTTCAGTGCGTGTCAGGAAGTGCTGTGGGAAGTCTGGGGGTGCTGGGTGCTCTGCCTGACTCTAGCAAGGCTGCCAGATCCTCCCTGCTGGGCAGAGTGTGTGTGCGTGCGGAGGGGTGAGGAGGGCAGCAGGTTAGTCATGCCTCAGCTGGACTCAAGTTTCCGAGGTCCCTGGATGCATGCTGAGGGGACACGAGACAGCGCCTGCTGAGAGATGCCTCCCTTCTGGGTGTGCCCTCCGTGCCAATGCTGGGAATGTGGGCCACCCACACCCACCCTGTGGTCAGCCCCCTGGGCTGAGGACCCCTGAAGTGGCATGGTCTTACCCTGTGGGGCAGGCAAGCTGCTTGCCCTAATGCCCAGTGCAAAGTGGCCACTGACAGGTACTGGCAGCAGTAGCAAGGTGGCCCTACATGAGGCCCCAAATTTCTGCCCTTAACCATTCAGTGCCACCTTAAAAACTGCTTTCTATTCAAGAATCTTAAAAAGTAACTGGGGGTTGGGCCCAGCAGTGTGGCCTAGTGGCTAAAGTCCTTGCCTTGAATGCTCTGTGATCTCATATGGGCACCAGTTCTAATCCCGGCAGCTCCACTTCCTATCCAGCTCCCTGCCTGTGGCCTGGGAAAGCAGTCAAGGATGGCCCAAATCCTTGGGACCGTGCACCCCTGTGGGGGACCTGGAGGAAGTTCCTGGATCCTGGCTTTGGATTTGCCATTTGCATCCAGAAGTGACCCAGGAGGCCAGAGGTTGGCCCTGGTCACAAAGCCACAGCCTGCCTAGCACCCTGCTGGGCTAAACGCAGCGTCATGATGAGCAGTAAAAGTCACAGGTTCTTTATTTAATCCGTCTCATACACGAATTTTTGAGGTTTTTTTAAATTAGATAAAAGAGAATATTAAATGGCGAGTGTATGAAGTTTCTCTTCATAAACAATGTCAAAACAAAAGTTCAGAATTACAAAATGTTAAAAAATATGTAGGTACTTAAAACATTTCACTAAAGCATAAAGTTACAGATATTTTCTAAAGAAAAATAATTGTGCTACTTACCTATTTATGCTGTTTCTATGAATTTTGTTTTTATTCTGTACATAGGACATTTTGTACAAAATATGAAGTCTACATTTTTATTACTCATTACCATAAACAAAGATACAATGTATGTACAATATTAAAAGGAAGCCATACTAAAGCCACACTAAAAAGACACTCTGAATAGTGACATTTCTGATGTACAGAGACACGTTCTGGGAAGAATGGAGATGCCGAATGCAGAATTTAGAAAGAAAACAGCTACCAGCTCGTTTCTGACGCAGTGCTGGCGCAGTCTGCCTGGAAGGGGCAGCATGGCGCCTCTAGGAAAGCTGACCGAGGAGGCCAGGGAGGCCGAGCACCAGCCAGGGACACGACAGGCGCAGACACTAAGGAAGACTCATCAAAGGCAATCCGCTCCTCTCAAAGCTCCCCCACCTTCTTCCATACGGAGCAGAAACAAAAGCTGGACAGAGATGTTCTCACAGGGCGAGCTTCACCCGGCCACTAGCCACAGATACTTCGCTTTCCCCTAGGGCAAGAAGGAATCCTTCCAGAAATCTCTTTCACACACACCCAGCATCCAGAATCAAGGGTATCTGAGACTACTGGATTAAGACTGGAGTTCAAACAACGGGATATCAAAGTACATGAGACGCTGCTTTATACAGTAAAAGCACCCTTTTTCCCTCAAAAAGGGGAAGGCATTTCAACTAATTTTTTGTAAAGGATCAGTTTCATCAGGGAAAAGTGGACAGATACTTATCAAGTTTTTCAGGAAGCGTGCTTGAAGTACAGTGGCCTGCTCTTGGCATGGGCCACCTTCTGCCTAAGTCCTCGCACACAAGAGCCCTCCTACCAGACGGTTCCCCACCAAGACACTGGGGAATACTGTCACCAGGCATTCAGCACTTTGGGTGGCTTGTACAGCTGTCCCTTCGAAGACATCTGAGACCTCAGTAAAAGACCAGGTCCTCAGAGAAGCCATGCGTCGTCACATTGAGCATGACATTATGCCACCCAATGCCAGGGATACAAAAACCAGCGCCACTTGCCAGCAAGAGCCACACCATCTCGAGCAGTGTTTATGCAAAAGGAAGTCAGAACACAGGTCACCCTGAGAGAAACGAGGAACGGACATGGCTACTCCATCCAGAACAGACGCTCACGGTGCGTGAGGGAATCCGGGCCAGCGCTGTGTGCAGACGGCAGCAGCTCCCCGACAGGATTCCCTTTTCGAGGCTGCGACGCGCGCTCTTCCTCGCAAGAGAGCTGCACATCCCAGCCTCCTCCTTGGGACCACCCACTAGCAAGGGGCCCTGGTAAGCCGGGCGCCATGTGTCACTCCCATCACTTTATTAGGCCCAGAGGCTCAGCTCACGCAAAGTGCAGATCGGATGGACTGCTGTTTTACTTATTCAAGAGCCCTGTCGGAGGGCAACAGTGTGTGAGCTGATGAAAAATAATCTTGTCAATAAAAATGGGAACACATAATTTAAATATTCCAATTCTATTCCAGGTAGATGGAGCAAGCTCTTTCTAAATTTCTTATTCAAAGCTCACTCCTGAACCCTTGGTGCTGTACCATGGACTGCATGGCTTCAGGTGCACGCCAGAGAGCACGCCGGGCTGCCTGTGCTGAGTACGAGCTAACTCCTGGGGGGACCTGTGGCTGAGGACTGGCACGTCCTGCGCCAGCAGGCCACATTAGCACCCACAGCAAAAGCCATCTCGCTAAGCTCGAAACCACAGCACATGCTAACTGCCGGCCTGCCACCAGTGGGGGCCAGTCAGAAGTCTGTGCCCTTGGGTTTGGACAACAGTGCTGTTCCCCCAGAACCACGTGTGTGTGAGCCTCACACTTCCATCTGGGCCGAGTGTGATGAGGTGTTTCCAGGCTGTGCTGGGCTGAGGGCTCTGTCCCCAGCCCATGCTCTGCCCACCGGGTCTGCCGAGTCACCACTGAGCTGAGGCGGACATACAGGACTGCTTACATTACAGGTTGGAGAAAGCCTGGGTTGTGAATGGAACTGACTGTTATGGCACATCAAAGTAAGTTCTTTTCTACAGCTGCCGGAGCCTCGCAAGGTGCATGCGCAGCCCTGCGGTGCCGGGGAGCTAGCGTCCCTCCTGGGAGACCAGCTCATCGGCTCGGCAGTGAGCCTCCAAGGCTTTCTTGGTGTGGGGATCCTGAGGCAGATCTGACTTGCGACGCGCAAGAGGACGGTCCTTCTTCAGGTCTTTCTGGGCCTGGAATGACAAAGGCAGTGCAGTTGGCGACAGACCATGCTGGCTGAAGGGCAAACTTGTATCTGAGCTCGGGGTGGATGCACAGCACTGGCCGGCCACATGGGTCCTCACAGCGGTGGTGGCAGGTGCACCTCTTCGTTAAGACACCACCTGGGACCAGCTGGAGGCCGTGTGTGCAACACAGGCTCCTCCCCAACACAGGGTCACCAGTGGCAGTGAACCCCATAAATGACACCCGCCTGTTTCAAAAAACATTACCAAAGGCACTTTTATGGCCTTGTCCATCACAGAAACCTTTGAGAAGGTAGACATTTTCTTTGCAGTAAATAAGAATGAAGGGAAAACACTTGAGCTGAATTTACAAGTGGAAGAGACCTAAATCTTGTACCAGATTGGCAGAGAAGACCGAGGGTACCACGTGGGGGAACAGGGCCTTTAGTGCTTAACTATAGTTATTATTTAAAGTAAGCAGTCCTACTGCTGAGGGTACTAAGCCAAACTCCTCCTTCCCTTGCATTTTCATCCGTAAATTTTGGACATTTTGCTTTTACTTTAAACAAAAAAATAAACTAAGTGAACGCTCTTTTGGCATGCTAGAGTTTAACAGGGTCTCAACTCTGGCTGAGTTCTCACCCCAGCATTTTGAAACAAGACAGCAGCTACATCCTCTAGATGGAGCAAGCACCTGGTCAAGTGGGCGAGGAACAGCGGGGCCGAAGGCTTCCTTCCTCCAGTGTCTCGGGAAACCATGCACTGCCAGACAGCAAGTGCTCCTGGGTGCTTTCTAAGTTATCACTGGACAACAAGGAGATGTGCAAGGGGGCATCATTGGACAACAAGGAGACGTGGGCAAGGGGGCATCTGGCTTTGGGACAGCATGTAAAATACGCATCTCTTGGCTGGCATAAAGAAGTCCAAGGACATGCAGAGATCTACATGAAAAGTTCACATTTTTGTGAAATCAATTTATTTAAGCATAAGCATTGAAAAGAGTTTTGTGTGACCTCAGTGTAGGATTATTTCTAGAAATCTGAATTTGGCATTCACTCATGGGGAGGGCAGGCTATGTTTTTCCCTATGGCGTGGTCCCCGACATGTGCTGGCTTCTTGGAGGCGAAATCCTAGCCTGTGTCTTACACTCTTCCAGGTTGATATGTAAAACAAAGCCACACGAAGCAAAACCAAAGCAAGATCTTTACTTGGGAGATGTGCTGCAGCAGGTCATCCCAGAAGAAAGCCACGGAGCAGGCAGCGCCTGGCGCTTTGGGGCAGTGGCCGCCAGCACAGAGGAGAGACCCTGGGGCTTCTGGCAGTGTGGGAAGGTGGGCATGGGAGCTTTTTTGCCCAGGAGCGCAGCCTGGTGTGTCAGGCACAGACTATTTCACAAATCACAAAAGGAAGACAAGAAAACGAGGAGACGGCAAAGGAAGGATGGTGGCGAGGCTGCACTAGGTGGGCCGGGGCCCCAGTGAACCTGGGGAGGAGCCGGCCTGCGCTCAGGGCACCTGCACACCCAGCAGGTGGGCCATCAGCACCAGAGGCTGGGCAGAGGGGCAGTACACGTTTTCTTTCTCTTACAAAGGTCTAAGTTCAAACCTCACTGCTTACACTTGTTCAGGACTAAGCCAGATTTCTTCAAGGACTATCACAAGTGGGAATGAGATAGAAGTAACTGCTCACGGACACACGCAGGGCCTGTTGGTTTTCTCCCCAGACAGAAAGCCTTACATAAGCTCTACAGAGTTAGGAACCAGTACCTGCGCTGCCCACCTTCCGAATGTCTACACCTTCCTTACTTGCGTGGTTGACACTGCCTTTCTCCCGACCAACTGTTGAGAAGAATTGTAAACATTTTAAATGCCTCTGTCAGCAACGCTGCTCACATGAAACATATGTTTTCTGAATAGGGCTGCACAAGGTCCCTGTGGCCGGTCTGCAGTGTGGTGCTGACAACCCAGTAGAGCCAAGTCCCCCCACCAGCTGTGGGGTCGTCTGCCTGGCTTCCTCAAACATGACCATCCAACCCAAATTTCAGATCACTTTAAAGGAATATGGAATTGTTTTTGGAATAGCCCAGCTGGTTGACAGTAAAAGGGTGCTGGAAATAGTCACATAACAATATGAAACCAAAAGTTTGACCCAAAGCTTCTCGTCAGGCCCGTGGCGGAGCTGCACACTTAGTAGTGGTATTTTTCAGAACTTCAGGAAAATGACTCAAGTATTCTCAAATAAGCAGTCTATCAATTCCAAGATTTAAGTCTAAGAGACTGCATTGCGTAAACATGTATGGCTGGGTTGGGATTCATTGACAGTCATGGGACGTGCAGAAGTGTGTGCAGTGAGGCTGCAGCCTGGGGTGGGTATATGCTTGCTCTTCCAACGCGGTTCATCTTCTCGGTTGTTTCAGCTGCCCTAAGTCCTCCTGAATTTCCATATGAATTTTACACCCAGCATGTCAATTTCTTAAGCCTGCCAGACTTCTGAGATTGAGGTAATCCGTAGAGAACTGACTTCAGTGGCATGAAGCCTTCCAGAGGAACTGAAGGAGAGGCTGGCATGATTTTTGTAAAGGCACCAATTCCAGAGAAAACCCGGTCACAAGCCCGACTTCCGGAATTACGAGACGCTGCCTAGGACTCTGCTGTCGGCATGGGCGATGCTTCGGGTAGGGGGTGAGCCCCCGGTCTGGACACTCTGATGCTTCTAGGATGGGGTGAGCCCCTGGGTGAAGGCTTCTGTGATGTTCCTGGCATGAGTGAGCTCCTTGGTCTGGATGCATCTATGGCTCTGGGTGGCACACACCCCTCTGAGGGCACAGGGTGGGAACCCTAAAGATGTCTGTGACATTTAAGTTCATGTAGTTGGAGCATTTATTCTTTTCCTCACTGTAATTCTGACCCGACTCACAGGTTTTACCAGAAAAAATTTCCCAATCTTAACAATTACTGCCTGAAAACTGGCTTGCATGCCGTCACTTCCTCTCCAACTGTGCAGCCATGCATGTTAGGGTCCGCTAGGCCAGCTTCCTCGTGGCCACAGACGTTCCAGTGGGGTTCCTGGTCTGTGGCTGACAAGGCCCTTACAAGTCTTCAACCCACTAGAAGCCTTCAGAACTCACCAAACAGATAACTTGGCATCCTTGCCCACTGAGACAGCGAGGAGGAAAAGGAACGCTGCCACACAGAGGTCACAGAGCACTGTGCTAGATGACACTTAGTCCTAGGAGCAGCAGTGAGGCCGGTGCCAGAGCCAAGTGCATGCCAGCCTCTCACAGACCTCTCTCTCCCCCACCTGAGGAGCTGCAGGAAGCGCTCATGCACCTGCTCTGATGCCGACCTAAACCGTCCGAGATGACAGGGTAGCTGCGAGGGAGCAGAGATCAATGTGCAAATCTGGGCTCCTGCACCCACAGCTTTCCCCCTGCCAGTGGCCCTGTGAGCACAGCATCTCATCCAGCTTCTCCCCCAACACAGCACTAGCCATGCAAGTGGCCCCAGAGCTTCCAGGAGGGTCACGTGAAAAGCAGTTCTGGGGTGTCAGCTTGGGGCTACAACTTATCGAACCCTGTGTATCCAAACCAGGATCACTTCTGGGTGTGAAGAGTCGATGTCCTGAATGAGACGTGCTCACTCTCATGCACACTCATGCAGATGCAGACCTGTTCTAGTGCCAGGGCAGGGCTGCCCACGCTCTGTGCCTTGCTCACACCTCATCCTGCCTCAGCAGGTGGCACATATAGTTCGTTTGAATCAGATGTAAACATGACGGTACTGAGAAATCGTACGGAAAGATGAAATTAAGATAAACTTATTTTGGTATAAAAATATTTTTTAAATTCATATATAATTTTGTCAGGAATATGCATTTTCTAAGAGACTTTTGAAGGGCTCTTGTGTACATGGGTTTCAAGACTTTTTGCACTGAAATAAACATCTTTTAATTCCACAGAGATTATGAAAAGCTCTCTCACTGACCAGGATCCCAATGGCAGCGGCATTTGCAGACCATCGCAGGCAGGACATGGGACCTGATGGCAGGGACAACTGTAGCCAGAGTTTTAGTGCTAGGAATTTGTAGGAAATCTTGTACTGGGTAAAGGGGTTTGCAGCATCAAGGTGATCCCCCCATCCGTCGAAGCTGTGATCTATTTACAGGGGTGTTTGAAACATGGCCCCTGGGTGACTCATGCCACTGCAGGCACGGAGTCCCCGTGGCTAACGCTCAGCTGCGCGGGCCCCTGATTCTCTTCTTCCCGCTGAGCTGGTTCAGAGGGTATCTGGGGGTGGAAGCCATATGCTATGTCGTGGGGGCTGACAGGATCCAAACAGGCCTGAGGAGGGAGTGTTTCCGGGCAGGGAGAGGCAGAGGAGGAGCGAGCAGAGGCAGCACTGCCAAGTGTTTGCTCAGATGGACACTGACAGAGAATTAAGGGTTCAGGTGAGCGAGGAAGGATGTCTCAGGCACACACTTAATCCTTCTAAAAACTGCTGCTGGTCATTTGATCCCTCATGGCTACGGTCAGAACAGCTACAAGATTACCACAGTTTAATTTTTAACTTTAGCTGGAATACAAGGCATTGCTATATAAGGGGTCTTCAAAAGAGTTGATGGAAAATACGGATCCTGAAAAAGCAGTCAGGCCTGCCAGTGCTTGGGCTGAGATGAATGGCTTGCAATCCCGTTTCTGCGAACTTCAAGAAGGCCCCGTGTGCGCCCGCTGCCAGCCGGTCTGCCCCCAGCACGCCCCAGCTGCGCCCTGGGGGTCTTTACCTGCCGAGCCTCGTCGCTCACTGTCTTTCTCAGCATCTGCACATCTTCCGGCAGAGGCCCGTCTGTCTCCATTGCCACCGGCATGCTCACGGTGCTCGCGTGACTATACACTGTATACTGCAATGCAAAGCGGGGAGGTACTCTCCGTTAGCAACTCCTGGCCTCTTGTCTGGGCATGGCCCTCTATGGCAGGAGCCCCCTCAAAGATGACAGACTCCCCACGCCCTGGCTTTGACCACCTGTCACCACTGCCTGCCTTAGGAGGCACAGCTGGGCCCCTAGGTCACTTCCACATTCCTCCCTCCCTGGGTGCTCTGGTCCCTGACTGCCCACCCCCACCCTGGAGCCCCTGCCATCTGACTCCAGATGGCAATGAAATGCCAGGGCACACTGGGTTTGGGTACAGTGGCTGCTCTGCTGCTGATGGCCGTCTTGAAATTCCCGCTCTGCCATCACCCACTGCAGCAAGGTTCTGGCTTTCTTCTCATGCCTCACTGAGCTGACCCACCTGACTCCTCTATCCTGTGTCGGCATATTCCTAATGTGCCTAGCCCTTTCCAGGACAGAACCAGTGAGACATCTGCTAGCAAACCAACACCAGGCAGTTAGCTCCACAACTGTCTCCCTGTCCCATCAGCATCCCTCTAACTCCCTGCTGGCTGTCCCCTGGGATGCAGCACTGACTGAGATGGTTTCAGGGGGTGTTCTGCAGTTAGAAGGGCTCACAGGCCTGGCACGATAGCGTAGTGGCTAAAGTCCTCGCCTTGCATGCGCCAGGATCCCATATGGGCGCCGGTTCTAATCCCGGCGGCCCGCTTCCCATCCAGGTCCCTGCAGTGGCCTGGGGAAGCAGCCGAGGACGGCCCAAAGCCTTGGGGCCCTGCACCCGCATGGGAGACCCGGAAGAGCTCCTGGCTCCTGACTTCAGATTGGCTCAACTCCAGCTGTTGCAGCGTCTGGGGAGTGAACGATAGGACGCAAGATCTTCCTCTCTGTCTCTCCTCTCTGAATATCCACCTTTCCAATAAAAAGAAATAAATCTTTTAAAAGAAGGGGGCTCACAAGATGGCATGCTGATTGGCATTTACTGCCCACCTTCCAGGCCAGGGGAGACGGAAGAGCGGGCACCTGTGTTGATGCAGACTTGTGCACAGGTGCTGTAGCACACTGATAGGCCTGCCACCAGGGGTCTCACTGCGAGTCCCTACAGCTCAACACAGGCCAGGCTGCGCGCTCCCTGCCCAAGGGAGCGGCTGACCCCAGCAACACTGGTAACCCTCTGGCTCACCAGCTGTCCCCCAGCCACTCCTGAACCTGCCCCACAGCCTCTAGGGCTCCAGCCTTGGCTGCTTTATCTGTTCCTCCCTGCCTGAGTCTCCGGCCCCTCTACATGTCTCCTCTGACTCCTGAAACGCAGCCCTCAAGTCCTCTTTTTTGGTGCCAAGCCCCTTTGCCTTCTGGTCCACCTCTCTCCTCATCTCAGGCCCGTGTGGCCAGCTGCACTCCTGCAGCCATCTGAGGCCAGGCTGCAGGCTGGGGCAGCCACAGCTGTCATTTCCCATCTCCAACACCAACGAGTACCTGGGCCCGTGGTGCTGTGCTGCCCTTTCCATGCTTGGGGCCAGCACCTGGCCATGCTGCCTTCCCAGCTTTGCTCCTTGTGGCCCTTGAACGAGAGCTTCCTCCCCACCCTCCCCCCAGCACAGACTGCTGGCAATGCCTGACACCCCCAGGAAAGCATCTCACAGCTTCCTCACTGCTCTGTGCCCAACACCCTCTTCATAGTGTTGAGATCCTAAGACACAAACAGTAACCTCACAGGCCAAGCTCCCTGTTGTCCGAGGTACACAGCATCTAGGCCAGGCTGAGTTCCTAGGTGCACTGGGCATGTGCGAGCCCAGGTTTCTTGGTGAGTCTCTATTTAAAGTTGTGCATGCCTTCACTGTCGGTGCTTGCTGCCACTGGCCCATTTTCTGCTCCCCTTCTGGGTTATGAGTGCCCGAAGGCCAGGGATGGGGGCGGGGACCATGTCTTGTCCTCATCTTTGCATTCCTGGGAATTCCCATGACTCACAGTGCCTGTCTCTGGGGGCTCATAGAAGCACGTACAACGGCAGCAGCATCAAGAGGCTGTGGGTCACACAGGGGGCGCAGGGACTTGACAATTTCTGCCCTCGCTGGAGCAGATCCCTCGTTGCCCATCAGGTGATTGTGTGGCAGGCCTGGGGAGGAAGGCCAGATCCTAGCCCCTGTGAGGCTGGGCCTGGAAGCGGTAGCAGGCTCCAAGGCCTCCCTGGCTGCATCAGAAGGAAGGGTCTACCTTAGCATTCTTCAGTGCTTCCTGACTGCCTCAGATTATGCCAAGTGTGACATCAGAAAGCCCAAGCAGTGCTGCCACAGCAGTGGGGACAAACAGCACAGAGTCCTAACGGCTCCCCAGCGCTGCTGGCAGCCCCCTCCCAGAGGACCAGTCGGTTAGGCAGTCTCCTGTAGTGCAGTGCGAGGTGCGCCTCAGCAGCCCCGTGGCCTCAGCTCACCAGAACCAGACAGTGCCACCCACAGACAGGTCAGCCGGCGTGGCAGCAGTGGCTAGTAGAGAGCAGGACAAACAGTTTCCTAGTAAGAAGAAGTGCGAGGCTCTGGGGCATCAGCCACAAAGCATCTCCCACTGGAAACAGACATGGGCTGGAGCACGTGTGCAGAGCCCGAGTCACAGATAAGTCAATCCAGAGACAATGACTGGTGTCATGTGACGGGAGTTTGGCTAGCTGACACCCCCATCACACACAGCTTGAGACACAGTATCCCAAACTGGCACAGGCAGAAGAGGGCAGAGCCATCATCTGGGATGGTACAGAGCTGAGCAACAGCTAGCTGGCCTTCGCTCCTATGGGGAACTTCACACAACTCTTTCTGGAGGGTTCCTTTGTGTGCAAGGGAAGGCAAGTTAAAACCAACCCAGCAGGGCCTGGCAGGCGAAGTTGCTGCCTGTGACACCTGCATTCCACTCGAACACAAGTTCAAGTCCTGGCTGCTCCATTTCCGGTCCAGCTCCCTGCTAACACATTGGGGAAAGAAGGGAAGACGGCCCAGTTCCTTGGTTCCCTGTTGTTCACGTGGAGACCACAACAGAGTTCTACGCTCCTAGCATCCAGTCTCCCCAGTGGCCATCTGGGGAGTGAAACAGCAGATGGAAGATCTCCTTCTAAACGTGCATTCCCAATAAATCAATCCTTAAAAACAAACAAAAAACCAAGACTCTGACTTGCACGTGTTTTGCATGTCTTTGAGGCTGCTGACCTCAAGCACGTGTGTGGGCTCTCACAGCCCTGAATATGTCCACGTGCAGCCGCTGGCCTTGGGTCCTTCAGGACACAGCAAGACGCCCAGGCTGAACCCCTCCACCTGTCCCAGCCCTAAGATTCATGATGTTTTAAAACAAATTCTATCCACGGAAGGAATAGTCCGTAACCACCTAGGCACAATTTGACCCAGCTGTCTGAACCAGCATGTTCACAAAGGACAGGGATAGAGAAGGTGAGAGGATGCCACCAGGTTCAAGGACACACAGGTCAGAGTGTCATCCAATGCTGCTTTCGGCCAAGAGAACCAGACAAAACATCATCATGTAGGCGAGGCACGTCCAACTTACCGTCATACTGCATTTCATCCCCCTTGGCTAATGAGCATGTACATACTCCTTGGGCTGAAAGAGGTAAACGGACTAGCAGTTACCTTCTTTCCAGGAGGCGGGAGGAAGCCGAGAATTCCCAGCACGGTCAGAGTCAGACCAGCAGTCTTCCTTGCAAGGTGATATTCTGGTCACACAGGTACCAGAGTGAGAGGGGGCCCTCGCAGATAGGGTGCCGACCCTCGAGACCAGCACCCATCAGACCACAGACTGCTGCCGGGTGGCACCTGAGACTTGGTAGCCTCGGGTGCCAGCCAGGAGCTGCCCTACATGGGCACGGCTTTCACTGCCAGTCCCTCATCCATCCTGCTCAGGGACACTGGCGGCTCCAGGCAATGGAGGGGAGAATGTTGCTAATTTTGAACAACAAAAGGTTCTGTTTAGGGGAACAGCACTTAGGAAAAAGACATCCACTTCATCCACCTCACATTTCCTTTCTTTCAGCTACTGGGTATTTAAAAAAATAAAGTGGAGCTATTGTGAGAATGACAGCATCAACGGCATCTGAGAGGGCACACGCAGTATAATGCTGGCCTGCAACGGAGAGGGCACCCCACGTTCCTTGTTACCACAGTCTTTTCACAGGATCCACATATCCTTTAACAGGAAATTCTGTGGCAAAAGCAGTGTGGGACAAGGTAAGCACTTGTACGAGGAGGGCTACAAGCTGAACGGCACTTTTTATTGTGATATTTTCATGTACAACGTCAGTGGGACTGGTCTCCCTCCTGCCCATGATTAGCCATATTCCTATCTTATAAAAATATCCAAGTGGCACACCCTCAGCATTCTCATGTCACTCTCTCTTTAGTACCTGGGGGTTTGCTTTGGCTAGGTTTTCTATTTTAACCCATGCTTCTTCACGTTCTTTCATTTTTAGCTTCTCTCTGAAAAACAGGAAAATGGCATCTGTGTTAGAATGAGTCACAAGCAAGAGGAAGCTCCAGGAGACAGCCTGGACCCTCCTGCAACACTCCCCACGCGCCCTCTGCTCCTCCTGGACCCTCCCGCAACACACCCCACGCGCCCTCTGCTCCTTCTCGGGCCCCAGGCCACAGTGTGATCGCACGGCCAGGGACACAGAATGAAACTAAGAGGGTCCAGTGTGGTGTGGTAGTGGCTAAATCCTTGCCATATGGGTGCTGGTTCCTGTCCTGGCTGTTCCACTTCCCATCCAGCTCCCTGCTTGTGGCTTAGGAAAGCAGTAGAGGATGACCCAAGGCCTTGAGACTCTGTGGCCATGTGAGAGGCCCAGAAAAAAGCTCCTGGCTCCTGGCTTTGGATTGTGAAGAGCAGAAAAGTCCAGGTCGGTGGGGATCACTAAGTGGTTGCCATAAAGCTTCCCTTAAGAGAAGGGTTTTGCCCTCTGAGGACATATCACAACTCTTTCTGTAAGCAAAGCCATGGCAAGCTACAGCCTGCCCTGTTCCTAGGGGCACTGAGCTGCCACGTGCAAGGCCAATGACTCTGCTGGCAGAACACAGGGAACAGCTACCTTGAGCATGCATTCTTCCATCACCAGTTGGCAGAGCAGAGCCTGGCCCTCCCCATGTGCAAGGGGACCGGCACTGCTTTCTGTCGAGTGCTAACTCCTGACAGCAGAGGTGTGTTCAGAGTGAAGGGAACCTGGGCAAGCGGCCACTTACTTGAGTTTCTCTGCTTTAAACTGCTGGGTGCAGTCATCGAACAGTTTTTGGTTCATCTCCATGAAGAGTTTCAGGGCGTTGTATATCAAACCATGAATTGTCCTGTGGGGAAAACCTTGTGAGCCTCGCACCTCCACTGCTTCCTTTTCCCTCCTTCTCCCAGCTCCCCTACTGGTTCCCTGCTGGGTTCCCAGCCTGTTTCTGCTTTCTTGGCATTGGCCACACTGTCCCCAAGCTTCTGCCTTCACAGCTTTCTCTGTGAGTCAAGCTGCCTGTTCACTGTCCCAGCCAATGGCCATCAAAAGCCCCCTGGCTTAGAGACAGAATCAAGAATGCTGGCACTTGAACAATCAGGGTGAAATTATATACAGAATGGTGACACACACATTGTTTCCTATAAATATTGCCTTCCTTTTGAACTTACTGAGAACAGAAAAAGAAATTTTAATAATGCCAAAGTGGAGCTTTGGCAGGCAAAAAATAAAATGATCATAAATGGCTCCATCAAGCTTGGCTCTAGGGCCAACACGGTGGGGCAGTGTGGAAAGCTACCGCCTGCGACACCAGCAGCCCACATTCTGGGTGCTGACTTTCCATCCCAGCTGCTCTGCTTCTGACCCAGCTCCCTGCAAAGGGCTTGGGCCCCTGCCTCAATGTGGGACACATGGATGACACTCCTGGCTTCAGCCTGGCTCAGTCCTGGCCACTGTGGCCATACAGCACATGGACCAGAGCATAGAAGACACCTTCTGTGTGCCTTGCCCTCTTTCTAGCTTTTTCAAACAAATAATGGACCTTACTGTTTTTCTTTAAGATTTTAGTTATTTTTGTTGGAAAGGCAGGTTTACAGAGAGAAGGACATCAAACAGAAAGGTGTTCCACCTGCTGATTCACTCCCCAAGTGGCCGCAATGGCTGGAGCTGAGCCAATCTGAAGCCAGGAATCAAGGGCTTCTTCTGGGTCTCCCATGCAGGTGCAGTGTTTCAAGGTTTTGAGCCATCTTTTACTGCTTTCCCAGGCCACAGGCAGGGAGCTGGATGGGAAGTGGAGCAGCCAGGACACAAACTGATGCCTTTATGGCATACTGGTGCTTGCAGGTGGAGGGTTAGTCATTGAGCCATTGCAGAGGCCCAAAACAAATACACCTTAACAAAAACAAACTTAGTTCTCAGGCTCTGACATATGTGGATCAGGAGGAAGGCCCGATTGCCCTGTCCCAGCTGAGCCCTAGATGGAGACTCCAGAGAGAATGGCAGGAAATCCACCCAGCAAAATCTACAGAGATGAAACAGTAATATAACCGCAGCTACAGAGCAAAGACAATGATAAAGCCTAACTCAGATTGTAACCACTGCTTAAAACACTCTCACGCCATCATAAAACTCTTACAATCTTTATAAAACAATTCTTCCTTATATTCATGTATTTGAACGAGTTATACAGACAGGGACACACACATATCTTTTGGTTAGTCCCCAGTAGCTGCAGTAGTAGTACCTGGGCCAGGCCAAAGCCGGGATGCAGGAGCCTCACCTGCCTCTGCTCACTGAGGAAGTAGCTCAAGGACCAGGGCCATCTTTCGCTGCTTTCCCAGGCCATCACCAGGGAGCCAGGACACATGCTAGTGTACCAAGCAGGACTCAGGTCTAACCATGCTGATTCTCACAGCAGGCTAAATCACACTGGGTCCTTTGTTACTATCTGTTGCATGTTACAAAGAACAGGTTGTACAGTGAATTAGACCCCTGCCTGCACAATGTCGCCAACCCCTTGGGTACCAAATTATGGCTCAGCTGCTTCACTTCCATTCAGCTCTCTCCCTGCTGCAGATGGGCCAAGTGCTTGGGCTCCTGCACCCATGTGGGAGACCTGGGTGAAGTTTCATGCTTTTGTTGTTGTGGCCATTAAAGGAGTGAACCAGTGGATGAAGATCTTTGTGTCTCCCCCTCTGTAACTCTTGCTTTTCAAATCAATCAATCAATCTTTAAGACAGAAAAGGCTGTTGGAAGTTGGTGCCCTCTTCACAACTCCTGCTCTTGTGCTGTTCGGGTGAGAGTGGCTGTTGCACTATCAGCGCCCAAGGTCTGCCCGACAGCCACAGGACAATGCCTTGCCTTGCATGTGCCGGAGCTTCTCAGCTTTCATCATTCCTCAGCCACATGAAGGTCACTGCAAGCACAGCCCCTTTCTACATAACATTATCGTAACCAGAACAACCCAAGGAAATGGTGGGTGCCAACACTACCTCTACTCTTCCAAAGAGATGGAGAAATGCCTGCAGCAATCTCCCACCTAGTCCTGAGAATCAGTCCCAGCAGAGCAGGAGCGGCACCAGAGCAGGAGTGGCTGACCCACTCTCACACCCGAAGCCTGGCCCAGAGTTCCAGGGCTCTAGGTGGGAAATGGCTGTCTGGCTGCTGCCCAGGGGCTAAATTCTGGAAGAGGATGTGCCAGCTGTAGTCTCCACGGGCACGGGAGGGCTGCAAGTGGCAGACCCTGCAGGCGAGGAACTGTGCTGCGGCCTAAACTGCCAGTCAGCACCATGGTTGCACAGTAGGCTGCCCAGTGCCTCTTGGGTCTGCATTTCTTGTCTGCGAGGCAAGGGAGAGAGCTGGACCCCAGAGCTCGGCTCCTCCGACCTCAAGTTCTTAATTGAATGTAACACACAGGAGCTAAATGAAGGATGGAGAAAGTCTCTGGCACTTGTACTCATCTAGATGACATAAACAGTGCACCTGGCACCGCGGCACAGGGCATAAGGCTGCCTCCTGAGATGCTAGCAACCCATACAGCTACAGCTTGAATACTGGCTGCTCCACTTCCCACCCAGCTCCCTTCTAGTATGTAGGGAAAGCAGCAGCACATGACCGAGACCCATGGGCCTCTGCACCCACAGCACAAACCTGGAAGAACCTCCTGGTTCCTGGTTTTGGTTTGTCCTTGCCCTGGCTATTGTGGCCATTTGGAGTCAGCCAGCAGATCAAAGACCTCTGAGTCTCTCTGTTACTCTTTCAAATAAAACAAAATAAATCTTCAAAAAACATTAAAATAAGGGCCCAGCATGGTAGCCTAACAGCTAAAGTCCTCGCCTTGCATGTGCCGGGATCCCACATGGGCGCCAGTTCGTGTCCTGGCGGCTCCACTTCCCACCCAGTTCCCTGCCTGTGGCCTGGGAAAGCAGTGGAGGACAGCCCGAAGCCTTGGGACCCTGCACCCGTGTGGGGAGACCCAGAAGTTCCTAGCTTCAGATTGGCTCAGCTCTGGCCACTGCGGCCACTTTGGGGAGTAAATCAGTGGACGGGAGATCTTTCTGTTTCTCCTTTTCTCTGTATACCTGCCTTCCCAATAAAGATAAATAAATCTTTCAAAAACACTAAAACAAGTAAAATAAGTTATTAATAAGACAAATCACATGGCCCATTATTAATTTCCCCTTTTAGGTCTCAGAGAACTGCTCAGTGGATGCATTTACGATACATTTATTCACAGCATTAAGTGAGAGACGAAGGCAAATATAGAGGCCCATATCTGATTCCTTAGGCTGTATTCAGATCACTTATTCTTCCCTCTTTCTAGGGGTGACATCACACTGCATGGGCTCCATACTTGGCTGCAGGGATGAGCCGTGTGAGCTTTTTCACTCATGGAGGGGGCTCAGGCTAAGGCCGTGGAGAAGCCGCAGGCACCTGGACCTGAGTCAGCCTGACGAAGTCAGGAGAGAAAACACCACAGGTGTGATGCTCACTGCCGCCTCACTTCTAAGTCAACTTCCACTTAAGAGGGACATCTTTGTTTCGTAGCTGCTATTTAAGATTTTGATTCTAATAAAAACATGTCAGCAAAACATGGAGCACTTGCTGGTTTTTGCTTACTTGTTCCAGTGGGTCTTGGAGTTGCGGTACAAGGATGGGAACATGATGGGCAGAATCTTGGCTGCGTTGTCACTGATCAGACTCATGATGTACTCATTATTCCAGTAGTACAGCGCTCGCTCCGCCACCTGCAAGACAGCAAATGCACAATGAGGTTGGGGGTGGCCACACTCAAATACACCGGACAAATATCTTGGAACCCGCAGCCAGGGTCAGCAAGTCCATTCATGTCACATGGGAGACACTAGGACCACTCCTACAAATTCTGGACTGTAACTCTGAAGAGCCTTTGACTACGAGGGCAATGGTTTCCTGTACACCAAGAAACCAAGACCACTGTTCTGCTTCCCATTTACCCCTGAACATCATCCTGGAGCCCATCATCCACCTGGCAGGCCCTCCCCTGCATCGTGTGGCCATCTCACGTGTGGCAGCAGCATCTGACAGGTCCTTGTCTTCTGAGGCTTACACTCTGATGTGGAAACACACCGTAAATGACAGCAGGAGAGGTGGGCGGTGCAGTGTTGGGAGGTGACATTGGGGCCAGCTGCAGTGGGAGCTCAGTCCAGCAAGTGTGCGCTGTATAACAGCCCTGCCAGAGGCAGCTCTCCCTCCTCCCAAGTGCAAGCCCAAAACACCTTGAGCAGGGGAGGGGACATTTACTTCTATGTTTTTCTTTGAAAGGCAGACTCAATTGCCACTGCCCTTGATTGTCAGGACTACACCGAGTCAGCTAGGCTCTGGACTGTAATCCCTGTCTCCAGTGTGGGAGGCAAGAAGCCTGCCTTGGAGGGTGTATGCTGGCGGGAAGCTGCAGGAGAGCTGGGACGTGGGCATTATGCTACGGGATGCATGTCCTAACTGATGTCTTCACCAACAGCCAATGCCAACTTAATAAAACATCTCTGGGTCCACTGCATCAGCTTAACGGCTAAATCCTCATTTTGCAAATGCCAGGATCCCATATAGGCACTGGCTAGTGTCCCAGTGCCATTTCCCATCCAGCTCCTTGCTTGTGGCCTGGGAAAGCAGTGGAAGATGATCCACAAATATGGCCACAAATATATATGGGGGTAATATATTCAATATATTTAAAAATAAATTAGAAAATACCTATTTAAACCAAGACTACAAACAACTCAGCAAGACATGACCCAATTAGAAAATAGGCAAGTGATACAAATAGATGCTTTACAGAAGAACAAACTTCAATGGAGAACAAATTTATGAAAAAAATGCTCAAGGTTAAGGTCCTGGTGTGTTGGTTCAACTGGCTAAGCTGTCTCCTGCAAGCACCAGCATCCGATATGAACGCTCATTCATGTTCTGGCTGCCCACTTCTCATCCAGCTCGCTGCCTGTGGCCTGGGAAAGTAGCACAGGACGGCCCAAAGCCTTGGGGCTCAGCACCCATGTGGGAGACCTGGAGAAGCTCTTGGCTCCTGGCTTCGGATCAGCTCAGCTTTGGCTGTTGTGGTCACTTGGGGAGTGAGCCAGTGGATGAAAGATCTTTGTCTCTGTCTTCCATTCTCTGCCTCTCCAATAAAAATAAATTCTTCAAAAAAAAAAAAAAAAAACCAGAAAAGAAAGAAAAAACACTCAACGTCACTGGCTAACCAGGAACACAAATCAAGCAATAAGGTATCTTAGCCCTTTATAAAGAAAATAATACAACAAACAGATGCTGGCCAAATATGGGCGGGATGTTCACCCGCCACGTGTGAGGACAGGGTGTGCACGCTGTCTGTGATAGGGAGCAGTGCTGCAAGAGACAGAGCTAGGCTCTGACCAGCCAGCCGACTGCCAGGCACCCACGGCAAGGAAATCAAGCCAGTACACCAAGACAGAGCACTGCGCCGCTCACAACAATCACCACCAGAGGGTGGTGACACAGTGTGGGGAAACACGTGACAGGACACTCCTCAGTGTCCCTTCAGTGAGGAGGGAAGGCACCCTGTCCTTCCCAGGCACAAGGGAGGGGCAGGTGGACGTTGTGTTCAATGATATCAGCTAGGTATAGGACAAATGCTGCATGGACTCATGGGTGGGAGCCAGGAAAGACCATCTCAACACAGAGCAGTGTGAGCAGAGGTGGAGGGGGAGGGGCTGCTGCAGATCCTAACGATCCCAAACACAGTGATGAGCCCCTCAAGAGCAAGGCCGCACGGCGCCAGCACACGCACTGCTCCTCACATCCCGACTTGATCACTCTATACCGTGTACCTGTTTTGGGTTATCACACCACAAACCAAATGCCCATTACTGAAATTGGATGCTTAATGTTTTAGATTTTTTTCTTCAGTTCTAAATATCAGCCTTAAAAAAATTTTTTTTTTTAATTTACTTTTTATGTGAAAGGCGAATATACAGAGAGAGAAGCAACAGAAGATCGTCTGTCCTACGGTTCACTCCCTAAGTGGTCGCCACGGCTGGAGCTGAGCCAATCTGAAGCCAAGGGCCAGGAGCTTCTTCTAGGTCTCCCACACGGGTGCAGTGTCCCAAGGCTTTGGCCTATCCTTGACTACTTTCCCAGGCCACAGGCAGGGAGCTGAATGGGAAGCAGTGTTGCTGGGATTAGAACCGGCACCCATATGAGATCCCAGCCTTTCAAGGTGAAGACTTTAGCTGCTATATTATCATGCTGAACCCTAAACATTAGCCTTTTCTTTTTTCTTCTCTTTTCTTTTTTTTGGTGGGAGGATGCCAGACCAGCCTCAGGTGCATGTGTTTGCAAATTATTCTGGAATGTTCTTTGTGACCTGTCTCTGAAAGGGCAGGGGGCAGGTACCATGTGGAGGAGGCAAGGCGGCAGTGAGGGGTGGGATGAAGCTGGGCTGTCCTTGGAGCATCCAACATGGCAGTCAGGAGAATGCCTCAGGGTCCCAGCTTACCCCGGTCTTGGGAGCCCCTGGAGGTAAGGCCTCGAGTCACCCAGAGCAGTGTGGTAGCACAGGCCTGTGCCGGCCCCTGGTCTACCTGACTTCTTTCCCGATTCTCCTGCCATGTGCTTTTACTCACAGCGAGGTCTGACCATGTCCCTGGTCATGGCCTTCTGCGTGTGTGCCCAAGGGAGAGGCTGGGTGCCCTGGCTGAGCCCTAGGGCACTGGTTCCCACGGTTTCTAGCACACTCTTCTCTGCTCCTGTTGACCAATACAAGCTCCCTCCCAGTTCCTAATGTGGGAGCTCTGATACTCGACCCCAAGACCTTGCTTCGCCACAGCAGAGGAGGTGACAGAGCTGTTTCCTCCCACCCACCCTTCAGACAAATCTGGCCCTTGGGGCCCCTATCCCACATTGGCGGCACCTGTCAGTTCCTTGTTGTGATTTCCTGTCTGGGTTCTGTGCGTGACGACAACCTCCTTCTGTCACTGTGCTGACAGGCTGAGGGGCCGCAGCCATCTCTGCAGTGAGGTGTAGTGTAACCAACTCCCGGCAGGCGGGGCTTTGCTCACGTCCTGTCTGTGCTGTCTCGGTCACGGTTAGAGTCCAGCACGCCGGCTCAGGATGTGAGAGGATGGCTGGCTGGAGGTGGAGGGAGGCCAGCAGGCTGGTCATGCTCAGGAAAGGCCAGGATTTCAACTGAAGTAGGAATTTGGCAGTGACAAAAACCTGAGCCACTCTAGACGGGTGAAGCAGCAGATGCATTTATCTGATGTCGGCAATGACCAGCTTATGAGGAGAGAGTCTTTACATCCGGAGGCTTCCATCCTGTCACCTGCTGCCTACTAAGGTTTGGATTTGGGAGTGTACCAGGGCCAAGTCAAAGGAACTATCGTTAGTGACTCCTGCAGAGAAACATGTTTTCTGGGATGGGGACAGAGTTCAAGTGTATCCTGCAGGTTACAAATTTTAGCATCTCAACCTTGAGGTACCAGTGTGGTAAAAATATGGATTTTTTTTACCTCCCACTTACGCACGAGGCAAAACACAAGCAGCTGACAGCGTTCACTCCTGCTGTATACACTCCTGCTGTATACACTCCTGCTGCACACACTCCTGCTGTACACACTCCTGCTGTATACACTCCTGCTGTATACACTCCTGCTGCACACACTCCTGCTGTATACACTCCTGCTGTATACACTCCTGCTGCACACACTCCTGCTGCACACACTCCTGCTGCACACACTCCTGCTGTATACACTCCTGCTGTATACACTCCTGCTGTATACACTCCTGCTGCACACACTCCTGCTGCACACACTCCTGCTGCACACACTCCTGCTGTATACACTCCTGCTGTACACACTCCTGCTGTATACACTCCTGCTGTATACACTCCTGCTGCACACACTCCTGCTGTACACACTCCTGCTGTATACACTCCTGCTGCACACACTCCTGCTGTATACACTCCTGCTGTATACACTCCTGCTGCACACACTCCTGCTGCACACACTCCTGCTGCATACACTCCTGCTGTATACACTCCTGCTGTATACACTCCTGCTGCACACACTCCTGCTGTATACACTCCTGCTGCACACACTCCTGCTGCACACACTCCTGCTGCATACACTCCTGCTGCACACACTCCTGCTGTACACACTCCTGCTGCACACACTCCTGCTGTATACACTCCTGCTGCACACACTCCTGCTGCACACACTCCTGCTGCACACACTCCTGCTGCACACACTCCTGCTGCACACACTCCTGCTGCACACACTCCTGCTGTACACACTCCTGCTGCACACACTCCTGCTGTATACACTCCTGCTGTATACACTCCTGCTGCATACACTCCTGCTGCACACACTCCTGCTGCACACACTCCTGCTGCACACACTCCTGCTGTATACACTCCTGCTGCATACACTCCTGCTGCACACACTCCTGCTGAACACACTCATGCTGTATACACTCCTGCTGCACACACTCCTGCTGCATACACTTCTGCTGTATACACTCCTGCTGTATACACTCCTGCTGTATACACTCCTGCTGTATACACTCCTGCTGTATACACTCCTGCTGCACACACTCCTGCTGCACACACTCCTGCTGTACACACTCCTGCTGCACACACTCCTGCTGCACACACTCCTGCTGTACACACTCCTGCTGCACACACTCCTGCTGCACACACTCCTGCTGCACACACTCCTGCTGTATACACTCCTGCTGT